AGCCAAACTGGAAATGGAGAAGAGACAATTGCAGGAAAAGCTTACAGATTTAGAAAAGGTAACAGCACTTCTAAGTGAACATTGGTGTTACATTCTTATGGAATTTTTAAATTTCTGCTTTTATTACTTGAGACATGGAGACAAAATCTATGCAAAAAATAAGCCTTGTTTTCAGTGTTTATTCTTTCTTTTTCTTTAATTTTTTTGTTCATTGTTTTTGCAATATGAGAAGTGGGGAAAACAAGACGGCATTTCCCTTAAGATCATAATACATTATACTTCTAAAGTGCATGTACTCCAGTGTGTAGGTTAACAGTGCAGAAGCACCATTTAATTTCACCTGATTTTTTTTCTTTAAACTCTCAATATTGCTAAAAATAAAAAAGCTGCTGCTGATATTTTTTTTTCTACAAATTTGTCATTGAAACAAAAGTATTGAAAAAAATACTCAGTAACCTTAATCTTTGAGCTGCTTTTATGACAGAATGTTGGTTGTTAAGGCAGTAATTCTATAATTGTTTGCAACTGGGAATGTCATTGTGCATTTTTGGAGCACTTTGCCATTCATAGAAAAACATTTGTAGAAATGAGTTCTCAGTTAGCTCCTCAGAGTCTGAGCTGCCTCTTCTACTCTTAGCATACTTCCAAGCAGCATGTTACTGTTGTCTGAATTTTTTTCTTTAACCTGATGTATTTAATGTTTTATTTCAATGTAATTTCTTCTTTAACAGGAAAAGAGCAACATGGAAATAGATATGACATATAAATTCAAAGTTATGCAGCAGAACCTTGAACAAGAAGAAGCTGAACATAAAGCCACAAAAGCACGATTAGCAGACAAAAATAAGATTTATGAGTCTATAGAGGAAGCAAAATCTGAAGCCATGAAAGGTATGTATTTGACATCACAGTTGGACTTAGGTGTAAATTATACAAAGTAGATAATATAATCTTTTAATGCTAGTGGAAGCCTAAGTTTAGGCTTTTTTCCTTGATTACCCTGTTCTTTTAAATATAATTAGTGTCATAAAAATGAGTCATAGTCCTTTCGTCCTTGCTTTGCTAGGTTAAAGACGCAATGTTTTAGACTTGGAGTAAAACAGGTTCTCCATTGCACACACCACTAATTCTTTTCCTGTGCTATTGTATTCTAAATTAATTTTTCTTAAACTTATATTACTAAAACTGCTTGAAACATTTTTAAGAGCTTATCTGTGTTCTTACTCAGTGTACTCATACCTTTTTGTGTCTTCCTAAATAAAGCATGTCAGCAACTTAATGATTTAAATATGTAGACCAGATAGAGTTAGAAATAGCAAAGCCTTTGCTAGGCTTCCATAGTCACTGTGCATATTCTGGTGCATCTTATGACAATTGAAATCCCTTGGCGAGAGGGATAATTTCTGAACAATTCCAGAAGATGGCTCTTACTTTTGAATTAAATGGTTTATTGCAGCTACTTAAAAAGCTACTTACAGATCCTTGCAGATCTTCAAATGACGCGCAAATGATTCAGTAATAATGGCTGAATCACTTGGCGTATCAGGTTCCTGAACAGCTTCAACTCTTTAAATGATTTCGAATTACCATAGTCAAAGCAACACTTCAGATGGATTATTTTTAAAAATCCACCCTTTTTATCCATCTCAGATGTGTTGCAGATAAACTGGAAGTTATCTTCAAACTCAAAAGTAGGAAATAGCTGTCAGTCAGGAATGCTTGCAGAAGCATCCTCTGGGAGTGGGTTTATGGTGCAATCTTTCTCTTCAGTGTTAAAAGGTTAAACATGTTGCTTATTGTTAATATGGGATAGACCTCCTCCTCCTCCCCTGGCCCTCCAAAAGCCCCTGGTTTACACTGACTAACATCTTAAATCTCTTGCTTCACAGAAATGGAGAAGAAACTTTTGGAAGAGAGAGCTTTAAAGCAAAAAGTAGAAAATCGGTTGTTAGAAGCTGAAAAGCAGCGCTCCATGTTGGACTGTGATCTCAAACAATCACAACAGAAAATCAATGAGCTCCTTAGGCAAAAGGATATACTAAATGAAGATGTAAGGAACAATGACAGAAGGAGTCTTGAGTGGAACCTGGTTTTCAATGTTGTAATATTTTCCCTGTTATAGCTATATTTAGGAATGTTTGTGAATGCAAATGGTAGCAACTTTTTCATTCTCTGTATTCGGAGCTTTAAAAAGTCTACTTTACAGTGTGGTTTCATTTTTCTGAAATATTTCAGTGTTATTGATCTTAAAAAGTTTTTCTTCTGGAATTTAAAATGCTGTGAGATTGACATGGAAAAAATAACTTATTTATTGTGTGCTAATGCCTTTATTCAGGAAACAGCTTTGACGTATCAAAAGATGTGAGCATGTTGTACAAAAGTGTAGAGGAAGTCAATAAGAGACACTGTTTAAATGTTGCTTTCCTGTGTAGGTCTGTAAAATTCACAGGTTTCTGTTTATTTTTCAGGTAAAAAACCTGACATTAAAAATAGAGCAAGAAACACAAAAGCGCTGTCTCACTCAAAATGACCTCAAGATGCAAACACAACAGGTCAACTCCTTGAAAATGTCAGAGAAGCAGTTAAAACAGGAGAATAACCATCTTCAGGAAATCAAATTAAGTCTGGAAAAACAAAATAATGAACTCCGCAAGTATGCAGAGTTGCTCTATATTTTTTTAATAATGTTACTGATTTGTAATTATTTTTTTGCAAAAGCTGAGAGCATTATTAATTTAATAAAATTGCTGCACAGGATATGCTACTCTACAGTGCAAAACTTGTTTAAAATAATTTACAGTGACTCTAGTTGAGATTTGCCTTAGTGATTCAGCAGTGTATAGACTAGTAGTAAAAGATGTTTGTTACGTTGAAAATCTTAAAAAAACAGCTTAAAAATAGAGTGAGGACTTCAGAGAAACACTTATTTAATAGAAAATCTAGGTACTTTTTTTTTTAATGACATAGGACTGCAGTGAAGAGGAAAGTTACTAGCATTATTAGTTCAGAAGAACTTATCAGAGTTCTAGAATACTAATACAGAGCTCTGAAGCATAACCATTGGAAATATCCAGTACTAAAGATGTTTAAACACATCTGTTGGGCCTTCAAATAGGAGTTTTGTTAAATCCCTGCAGTTCTTCAAGGACTTAAAAGCAATATTTGCACCTGATAATAATTTTTTTTTTTTTTAACATAAAGGACATTCTTGTGAATGAAAAGACAAGTTTAGCACATATATCAGATGAATCTCATTCTTAGCCTCTTTATGACTTCTGGTGGTTTATCTCCTTGTGCTTTATCTTTTCTGTCAGCAAGATGCAGTTACTCACCTAGCAGGTGGCTTCGTGTGGCGGTTGCTGTAGTGTGAAACACTGGCAGAAAGCTTTTCTGCTGCATGACTGTTCTTTGTTATGGACTGGCTAATTGACTTTGAGTTGTTTTAATAACAGAGGAATTCAAGAAATGAGGCGTGTCAATGAATACAGACATGTTTTCACAGACTAAACTCGAGCAAACGAGAGACCCAAAACAATCTGTCAGATCAATGACATTTTGCATGGAAATAAGAGTCTGTCGGTGGCCATTTCCTTTATCAGTCTCTCTTACTGGTTAAACTATGTGACACTGTTGTAGTTAGTGTGTTAACAGTATTAAACTGATTTCTTATTAGTGCAGTTTTATCAGCTGTATAAGTGAAAAAGAGAGCTGGTACCTAGAGGAAGCCTCAAGTTTAATTGCTGACCATACTTTGGTCAGGAAATGACTGAAGATCTTAAGAGTGTGAATGCTGTCTTATGTTTACTGGTTTGGGATATCTCAAAAAAATGGGTAGACATGGCACTTTGGGACACGGTTTAGTGGTGGTGTTGGGTTGATGGTTGGACTGATGACCTTAGAGATCCTTTCCAACCTTAATGATTCCTAGTTTTTACTTTCATTAAAAATAATCCAGCCACCAAGCCAGGAAACATGAAATTACTACTCTACCCTTAATTGATGTAGTGGTGGACTTGGCAGTGTTAGGTTAATGGTTGGGCTGGATGATCCTAAAGGTCTTTTCCAACCTAAATCTATGATTCTATGATCTTCATATCCTTTCTTCTAAAGTGTGTTATTCCTTTCTAGGGAGCGTCAAGAAGCAGATGGACAAATGAAAGAGCTTCAAGACCAACTTGAAGCTGAACAGTATTTCTCAGTATGTTTTATGCTTCTTTATTTTTATAGTAATCTGATTACTAACTACAGTGTTAGCTTTTCTTCTTCCTCCTCAGCCATCCAGGCGCTTCACATTTCTAATCTAAAGCTAATCCTTTTTCTTGTGTCCGTCTTCAGTCTTGTCTGCAGCCTTGTCATCCATCACTCCTTGTTCTTGCTCACTGAGCAGTGTGAAAGAGCTCGTGTTAAAAAATGTCTCAGCTTTGGGAGTCCCAAACACAGTTTAGAAGGAGGAAATCAAGCAGCTTATTTTTCCAGTGTGAATAATTTTCTGTGTGTTTCATGCCTTTTACATTCAGCATCTCTTCCATGCTGCATGGAAGAGAAGAGCTGTATTCTCAGAATCACGTGGTGTGACAAAACATGTGCGTTTAAGGCTTGGAAGGAAATTTTTGGATTACAGCCAAACTTGGTAGAGATATGTGGTGGGTTGACCTTGGCTGGACGCTCTATCACTCCCCTCCTCAACTGGACAGGGGAGAGAAGATATAACAAAAGGCTTGTCAGTCGAGATAAGGACAGGGAGATCGCTCAGCAGTTACCATCACGGGCAAAACAGACTCAACTTGGGGAAAATCAGTTTAATTTATTGCCAATCAAATCAGAGTTAGGGTAATGAGAAATAAAAACTAAATCTTAATACACCTTCCCCCCACACCTCCCTTCTTCCCGGGCTCAGCTTCACTCCTGATTTCTCTACCTCCTCCCCCCGAGCAGCACAAGGGGACAGGGAATGGGGGTTGCAGTCAGTCCATCACACGTTGTCTCTGCTGCTCCTTCCTCCTCAGGGGGGAGGACTCCTCACACTCTTCCCCTGCTCCAGTGTGGGGGTCCCTCCCACAGGAGACAGTCCTCCATGAAATTCTCCAACGTGGGTCCCTCCCACGGGCTGCAGTTCTTCACAAACTGCTCCAGCGTGTGTCCCTTCCACAGGGTGCAGTCCTTCAGGAGCAGACTGCTCCAGCATGGGTCCCCCACAGGGTCACAAGTCCTGCCAGCAAACCTGCTCCAGTGTGGACTCCTCTCTCTCCACGGGTCCACAGATCTGCCAGGAGCCTGCTCCAGCGTGGGCTTCCCATGGGGTCACAGCTTCCTTTGGGCACATCCACCTGCTCTGGTGTGGGGTCCTCCCCGGGCTGCAGGTGGATATCTGCTCCACCATGGACCTCCACGGGTGCAGGGGCACAGCTGCCTCACCATGGGCTGCACCAGGGGCTGCAGGGGAATCTCTGCTCCGGTGCCTGCAGCACCTCCTGCCCCTCCTTCTTCACTGACCTGGGTGTCTGCAGAGTCCTTCCTCTCACATACTCTCTCTCCTCTCTCCAGCTGCAATTGCAGGGGTGTCCATCCACGCCCCCCTTCTTAAATACGTTACCACAGAGTCGCTACCACCCCATTGCTGATGGGCTCAGCCTTGGCCAGCAGCGGGTCCATCTTGGAGCCGCCTGGCGTTGGCTCTATTGGACATAGGGGAAGCTTCTAGCAGCTTCTCACAGAAGCCACCCCTGTAGCCCCCCCGTTGCCAAAACCTTGCCACGCAAACCCAGTACAAGATCTGTTGGGAGTTTTTGCTTTATTGTGGTAAGGTATGACAGAATAAATAGGTATTGTACTTAAAAATCATCACTAGCACATGGAGGTTAATTTATATTCACAGTCTGCAGCCAGTCGCACTGCAGGTAGAGCCCAAAATGCTTGTTTCTGAATTAAAGGAAACTTAAGATTTTACTGTGGTCTTTAGGTCAGTGAGAAGGACTGTCTGAAGTTTTAGTAGATCAAGAAGTTGCACACATTAAAGGAGAGAAGTGGAGAATTGAGGTCAGTTGAGTGTTGTGGATAGGCCAGAGACTTGAAATTCCTGCACTAAATGCACTTGCAGTTGTCTGTTACTTTAACTGTATACAGTCATTTGACTGTACAGAGCAAAATAATTTTTCTTTCCTTTCTAGAGCTCTAGATTTGTATCCATTTCACAAAAAATTGAATTTCAAATGTTTTTCCTAATCGGTTTTTTCCCTTCCTCCTATACTTTTTTGCTATTTGTCATGTTGTTGTAATGGATTTGTATGGTTAAAATTAAATTCTACCTACCTCCCTCCCTCCCTCCCTCTAACAAAGATCTAAAATAGTAGGAAAAAAAAAAATTAATGATTTTCCTTGTTTCTGATACTGCTGATTTTCAGTCAAATAGTGGTATTCACATTGAGTCTCTTTAACAGTATGTTTTCAAATATATAAAATGTATATCATACGTCTGTCCATTCACAAATACACAAGTTAAACCAAACGGCAACAAAGTAAAATAATCAAAAAAATTGAGTGTGTGATTAAAGAATTGCATACAGTGTCATCTTGTATCATTTTTTCTGCACCTTGAAGCTAGAATATGCAAGTCACATCCTTTTCTATCCAACTGTAAATTCTAGACTCTGTACAAGACGCAAGTTCGAGAACTTAAAGAAGAATGTGAGGAAAAGACCAAACTTTGTAAAGAAATGCAGCAAAAGATACAAGAGTTACAGGATGAGAGGTAGATTTTACTACTTGTCCTACTAATATATAAAAGATTAGGAAGGCATTTTGTTGTTTTATTCTTTTTTTTTTTAACACCACCACCCCCCCCTTCCATTTTTTAAGTTAATAGCGTTAATAGTATGTATCAATAATTTGCAGAGATTCCTTGGCTGCTCAGCTAGAGATTACTTTGACCAAAGCAGATTCGGAGCAACTTGCACGTTCCATTGCTGAAGAACAGTACTCTGATTTGGAGAAAGAGAAGATTATGAAAGAGCTGGAGATTAAAGAGATGATGGCTAGGCATAAACAGGAACTTACTGAGAAAGATGCCACCATAGCTTCTGTGAGTAATATGAATCATGACTTTTGTAGAGGTTTACACGGGCTTGAGTTTCATTTGCAATTTGAGTTATCCATTGTTCTTTAGCGTACTTAGAGGTAAGTGATATACAAGATACCTGACATTTTAAAAATGTTTATTTTCTATGAATGAAATAAAAGAAATATCTTACTATGTTTCTTCCATGCATTTCTGATCATTCTTTCTTGTGTGCCCCTACCCCTCTTAGAGCTAGTCCTCTTATCCTTATCCTGGTTTCACTCTGAAGTATTTCTTTCTGTCCTGTAATGCTTTCATATGCCAAATGTGTTTTGTTACATAGTCACGTGTACTTTTTGTTTTGTAGTTGGAGGAAGCAAATAGGACACTAACTAGTGATGTGGCTAATCTTGCTAATGAGAAAGAAGAACTAAACAATAAACTGAAAGAAGTACAAGAACGTATGTATTCTCTGAACCAAACGTAATTTAATTTGAAACCAGTTTTGTTCTTTAAAAGTACTATTTTCTTTTGTAATGAGCTTTCATAGATTTTTTTTTTTTTTTTAATTACCTTGCTACAGAAGTTACAAAGCTGAAAGAAGAAGAAGCGAATGTAGGAAATATTAAAGCACAATTTGAAAAACAGTTGTTGAATGAAAGAACACTGAAAACCCAGGTAAGTACCTGTATGTAAATGAATTAATAGATAGTGTTCATGAATCAAATAATTTCTAATAGAAAACTTTCCATGGTAAACTATCTATATATACACCATTAAAACTTTATTCTTTTTTGCCCCTGAAACAAAATTTTTTTTTTTTTTTTTGCTTCTACTAAGTAGACTTTCAGTGTAGTGAAACTGCATCCTCATGATTTCTTATAGAGGAATTCCTAATCCACATGCAGTCCACCAGCAAAAAATCTTCATTTCACTCAAATGAATTTGTATTTTACTGGTTTCCATTTTGATTTATATTCTGTAAGTTCCATAAAACAGTATATTTCTGATTTTAATCCAGACTGTTTTTTAGGACAAGTGGCATTTTAATCCAAAGATACATTTTGGGGCTAGCTAATGGAAACAGAAGAGAATTTAAATGGGTAGAAGTGTTCAAAGGAAACAGTTGCTTAAAGTGAAAATGGTATCATTACCTTCTTTTCAGTTTTGAGTAGTACATTGAATTAAAGTAACTTTATAGTACTGCATATGGAGGGGTCTTAGTTTACCGCTAGATTAAAAGTGTCTGGTCGTGGATAGGAGAGAAGACTTTATATATTCACAATATAACTCTCTGTATTTATTGGTGTGTTTTTTGTCATTTTTTTTCTTCCCTATGTGAAGGCTGTGAATAAATTGGCTGAGATCATGAATCGGAAGGGTCCAGTCAAACGTGGAGCTGACACTGATGTACGGCGGAAGGAAAAGGAAAATAGGAAACTGCATATGGAACTGAAGTCTGAACGAGAAAAGTTAACCCAAATGATGATCAAATACCAGAAGGAAATAAATGAAATGCAGGCAGTAAGATCCTTTTGCAACTATAAACATTGATAGCATTTTCTGTAATTCTCATTGAATTGATACAGGCTTTAAGGTAGTGTATACAGTCTCTATTCCTGAATTTCCCGTGACCGAAAGAAATACCTGGTATATACATTGTGATTGACTGCGAAGTCTGCGTAATTTTCTACTTACATTTTCTCAGAGTAACTGAGTATTGAGATAGTAAGAACTCTTGTAATTTATCCTTACAGCAAATAGCAGAAGAGAGTCAGATACGGATTGAACTCCAGATGACCCTGGACAGCAAAGACAGTGACATTGAACAGCTTCGTTCACAGCTACAGTCATTACACATTGGTCTAGACAACAGTAGCATAGGCAGTGGACCTGGAGATGCTGAGGCAGATGATGGATTCCCTGGTAATGTTAATTTTATTAATATTTCTGCATTATTTGGTTTGATATCAGTGTTTTACCATAGAAGCTGAAGTGTTGAATTAATGCTCTGATGATCCTGTGGCTTTTCATCTTCAGGTGTTTCTACCATCTTATTAATGCTTTGATAGTGATCACTATCCACCTACTAACTAAATCTGTCTGTAATCATAATTCATCTTACATTTATTTAAAGAAATTTCTTTTAAAAATTCTGTTGTACCCCATTAAAACTAAATATTTTTTTCCAGTTTATTGTGGTGGTTACTTTGCAATTACTGTGTTATGTGATGAAACGTAAAACTAATGCCCTCTTCTTAGAGATTCTATTTTGACTTCTTTTCTACCTTTTTCCTCCTTTATGCTTTATGTTTAGTCCATATCACTCAATCCCACACTATGGAATCCATGTCTTTTACCTACCAGCACTCTTCTACCTCTGTCAGTATTGCCACTAAGCCTTCCAGTTCTCGCATGCTTCTCGATTCTGATTCTGACTCAGAGGAAGAACCTTTGTCTTGTTCCCACAGCCCTACAGAAGTTGATAGCACAGGTGACATCCCTGAGAACTGTTTGGTTTTGTTCTTACTGTGTCATTTTCTCTGTTTCAAAACTAACACTATTAATACATTATTTAAAAAAAAAAAAAAAATCTGGCAGTAAACATTGCCATCAAAGACACGAAAACGTTTGTATGAACAAGTAACTGGCCTGTTTTCTCTGAATGTTTACAGATGCTTGCTGCCATTTATAAAACCACTGTTCTTAGTGAAACATTGAATAAATAAGCCTTATGGCCTTGTTTTCAAGGTAGCCTCTATCCTGTATCTGCAGCTATCTGTGTGACCCTAAGATACTGGATACCAAAAAGTCAAATCTTTGTGTTTAAGTGAACACAAAGTTGACTTTAAGATGTGTGGAGACATCTGACTCCTCACCATTTAAATGTACATTACTTGTTCGTAGAAATTCTGTCTTCTGAGTATTACATGGTTTTGCCTTATTTTGAATCTTACATTTGATTCTTGTATGGTCAGGCAAGCAAAATTTATTCATTTTTCCAGATACATAAAGCCTATAATGAAATGATATGGCTCTGATAAAACAGAGCTTTGTTTTACTAATTCTGTATTCATTTTATATGACTACACATACACTGTGTTGAACAAAACTTCTGTTTACTGTTAATGTCAGAGGTGGGTTTTTTAATTACATTCAAATTTCTGTATTTCACTTGAGGTTCCTTTAAAGTGTGAATACCTTTCCACTGAAGGCAAAACTTGTTTTGGAATATTGACATTACTTCATCAAACTCGAGTAAAGAATAAAGCATTTCCTCTTTTTTCCTCATTCTCTGGTTTTTGCTATGAGGCTTCTAATAAAAGAATTGTTGAGTACATACATAACTTTTTCCTTGTAGCTGCTGTTGTGGTATCTGCATGGTTTTGTTTTGTTCTAAAGTAAAAATCATATCTAAACTAGGATATTTTTCTGACATAATTACAACAGATTTGAGGTATAATGGTTGTGTTTTGTTGTTTTTTTCCTTCCTAGTACTTATAGGCACGTACTGTGAAAATTTTGGAATATTCTGGCCTTTCTCTGATCTGTTAGTATAGAATGACACCAGAAATGAAGAAGTGTAACTGGAAACTCTCATTTTGTCCAATTTCATTTGATAATATTAGAGATTACAGAGAAAAATAGGAAAATATTTAACGCATATTTTTTTCACACCATTAACAAACTACACGTGCTTCCTGGATGCAGGGATTTTTTGCATCAGCATTATGCTTGCTATCCTTTGCATCAGGTGTAGTTGAAAGGAGCAATTTGAAGTGGCAGGTATGAGGCGAAATACACATTACAGAACTACCTCACATATTTGGTATGCACATTAAAATGTGTCCTCAACAGCAATGCAAGAGCAATAAACTTTGAAGACAGCGCATACCTGAATAAATAACCTTGCTTCAAGTCTCTATAGACAAAATGAGAATTCTATGAATATCTAATAACTATTTGTTACGCTATGTTAAACATAGGCAGGAGCCTGCAAATGCCCTCTGATGAGAAAGAAAATAGCTTTTGCAATTTTGGAGCGTGTTTATGCTCCTTTCATGGTTTTGTGTTCATTAGTACTTCAGGCTTCAATATTTTTGACTTGGAGGTTCCTCACTAGCAGTAGAGGTTATCTGCTAGGGTGGGAAACTCATTAGGAATATATTATTGCAATTGAGTAGTTCTTAATAAAGCATAGGGGAAAGAAATGCTTGTATGAAGTGCAGCTATAAAAATAGGGTCAAAGGCTATGTGGTACTATGTATTAGCAAGCACTAGGAAAGTGTGATCCTGGTGAGCTTTTGGTTACTACTGAAATGGCATGTGTCAAACAACAGCTGAGCTGTTGATACTGTTGATAAATCCAGTCTGACTCACATGCAAGTGTAATAGGAAATACTGCGAGTGAAAGGGCAGCTGAATTTAGGGAAGGCCTAAGGATTAGCCAAAAATTACTTATTTGGATAAGAAAGCCTAGGCGATATTAGCCAAAAATTACTTATTTTGGATTAGAAAGCCTAGGAGATTTAGGCAGAATTAGAAAAAAGAAAAATTGGCAGAGAAAAAAAAATATGAATTAGAATACTAAACTTCTGAAATTTTACCTGGCATATAGAGGATATAAGTTACTGGTGGTGGTAGTTTGCCTTGTTTTGTCTTGAACTGGATGTTGTGTGGTCTGTACTAACGTCTTCAGATGCTGTTTTAAAAGGTAAAGGTTGATAGACATAAGCATTTTAAGTCTTGAAAAAATTACTAAAGGGAATGTGTGTGCTATAATTGCAAGCTTGCTCTTCCCCTTCTTCCTTGTGCCTACTACTTTTTTGTGATTGCACTGTTGGTTATTGGCTGTATTCAGGAATACGCAATTTAATTTATTCCTGTACATTTAGTGTGATAAACTTTGCAAGGCCATGTAGTTTTAAATAGTTCATGTTCTCATGTTTGCTCTGTTGCTTTATTATTGACCTTCGATAACTATTTTAAAATGCACAGTAGTCTCAAAAATAATGTTTTGTGAATATTTATGTTCTTTAATACATATCTTTTTTTCAGAATCAAGATTGGAAGGCTGGCTATCGCTGCCTGTTAGAAATAACACTAAAAAATTTGGATGGGTTAAAAAGGTAAGAAAACCAGATTTATGATCTTGTTTCATGTGTAGTCTAGATTTTAAACTTACTGCAGGTTTTCAACACTTGAATTTTTCTTTGATACATGTTCTCTCATTACTTAAATGTATAAAATATGTTAGCTGGTGTATATAGCTATGTCTGAGAGGAGCAGGCTAAGACATTTCTAATAGGTTAAGACACTTCCTTGTCCAGCCAGAGGTGAGAACAGCCATTCACGATCTTCACATGTTTGTACATTCGCCGTAAGCATTCCCAGCAGTATTACGTAACTGGAATTCAGCAGAGTCTGGAAGCAGATGCCCTTGGCAAATTCTTTATTTAGGAGATAAAAGTAACAACTACTATTCTGCCTTGTGCATCCTTCGCTCATTTGCTGCTTTTCAGTAGCCTCTTCGATGGGTCCAGAGCAACTACACAGTTTCATACCAGTTCACTTACTGCTCAGTCAGGCTGTTGATTCTGGACAAAATTCTGGAAATAGGAGGTCTTCTAGGTAGCTAGCTCTTCTATGAAAATTGCTAGCAATGCTGGTAAGTATAACAGTGATCTTTGTGAGTATGATCCCTATTAGTTGTGAACTGCACATGTAAAGTAGGCATCATAAGATGACAGTTACTCTCACTACCAGTCCAAGTAAAATCGAAATGAAAAGCTTTTATCTTACTTTCTTCCAGACTTTCATTTTTATCTTTTTATAGGTACTTAAATCTGTTTAAATATCAGTTAATCTGATAACATAAATTGATTTATCAGGTAGCCAGGATTTTGTTTGTTGTGCCATGAATTTATTGGCAAAGCGTGTACTTAGTACTACTATTTGTACTACTGAGTCCATTTAGCTACCATTTAATAAAATTGTAGAAAAATACTGCTGCGACATCTGTGGTAACTGCTGTGACATCTTTCACGTCTGCGATGAGCTTGATTAAGATGTACATTTCATCCTTTTCTGTCTCTTAACAGTATGTAATTGTAAGCAGTAAGAAGATCCTGTTCTATGACAGCGAACAAGATAAAGAACAATCTAATCCCTATATGGTATTAGATATAGAGTAAGTATTATCACGTGAGATTCCTTCTTCTGATTTATAGCTGAACTTTGTCAGAAAGAGTTTGACAAAAGGCCCTTTGAGGTCCGGTCTGGGAGTGCAATGTCAAATGGGGCATACTTTTGCAATTTGAACTACAGAGCTGGGAGCTTAGGTGTCCGTTGTAAGCAGTGGTGCAGCAGTAGTGCGGTGCTCAGTCTGATATAGGCAGCTCTGTTGAGCTCTGATGGGAGTGAACTGCTTCCTCCAGCTCCGCTAGACCTGCCTCACATACATGTTGTAGCAAAAAACGGTAAGCAGAGAGGCTGTAATTTTCAGTGTTTGTACATTTTCACTTACAACATGTCCTTATGGGTGGGTTGTATAGTTAAATTAATTAATTTTCTCAATAAATACAGAATGTGGATATTCAGAGGTTGGAGCATGGGGAGACGATTGTGTTAGAAGGCTACCGCAGTCGTTAAAGTCACATGATGTTGTTTTGTCGGTGCTGTCATTTTTATTGCACATAGAGCTGGATACTTGTGACTTCTTTTTAGTCAGGGTTTTTGGAAGTTCATGTGCAGGATTGAAAGATGGGACTTTAATAAAGTGATTAGAAATTTGTACTGACAAATCTTTAACGGCTCTAAGTCTTAATGTGGTATGTTGTATCCTAACTTAATCTGTCAAATTAAGTTTACATTTTGGTAACATTAATTTTTGTCCTGACTGAAATAATTTCCTATAGCAAACTCTTCCATGTCCGACCAGTCACTCAGACTGATGTGTACAGAGCAGACTCCAAGGAAATTCCTAGGATATTCCAGGTATTCAGTAATAAATTAATGTTTCTAGCATAACAAAGATGGTATTTCACACGTTGTCAAAAATATTTTCATAACTTTGTCTAATGGAATATTCACCAAAAAGAGAACTTGAAAAAAATTCATTCCATTGTATTTCCTCAGTCTTTCTACTTAATTACTCTGAATTTCCGTTTGTCATATAGGAGTACTGAGATTATTTTGCTTTGATTTAGATTCTATATGCTAATGAAGGAGAGAGCAAAAAGGAACAGGAATTTCCTGTGGAGCCTATGGGGGAGAAGTCAAATTGCATTTGTCACAAAGGACATGAGTTTATACCTACTCTTTATCACTTTCCAACCAATTGTGAAGCTTGTATGAAGCCACTGTGGCATATGTTTAAACCTCCTCCTGCTCTAGAATGTCGCCGTTGCCATATCAAATGTCACAAAGATCACATGGATAAAAAAGAAGAGATTATAGCACCTTGCAAAGGTAAATAGCAGGGATTTGAATATGCATATAGTCACTGGAGTCACAGGGCGTTCTAATAGACCAGAGAATTCTAGTAGTGGTCTGACACCAACTAAACATAAATAGGTAGGCTTTTCTTTATTAGTACATAGCCATCAGAACCTTTCTGAGGGTGTCTACATGAGGATCAGCTCGCTGCTGTGAGTTAACGGCGCGTGGCCAGTACACGTACATACCTGCCGTGTTGCAAGCATCATGCAGTAAAGCGTGGTAGTTCTAAGACTGCTCACACTGCCTGTTGTGCTGGATTGCTCTACAAAACAATAATGTTAGTGCGAGTTATGAAATAGATGATATTCAGTGAAGTTTACTCCTTGTGACTCAGGTTACATAGTTTCTTGGGCTCAGGCACACCTCTGTGTTACCCTTCCTTGTTATTTTCCGTGTGAGTGTTTATCTTCCATAGTACTAAGTTGTTGCCCCCTAAATGTAAGGAGGAGGCACTGTCAGCCACCAGGAAACATGGTTTGGCAAAATCTAGTTCACTTTGCTTTTGATTTCTCTGCTGATTTCTCTTTGTGTTGACTGTGAGGGTATGGTAGTCTGACAACTAATTTTTGATGTGGGGACGTGTTTAGAATAATAACATACTCATTTTTGTTTCAAAAATTCTTATTACAGTGTACTATGATATTTCAACGGCAAAGAATCTACTACTGTTAGCTAATTCTACGGAAGAACAGCAAAAATGGGTGAGCCGACTGGTGAAAAAAATACCCAAGAAGCCTCCAGCACCAGACCCCTTTGCTCGGTCTTCTCCCAGAACTTCCATGAAGGTACAGCCAAACCAGTCCATCAGACGACCAAGTCGACAGCTTCCTCCAAACAAACCAAGGTGACTCAAAAGCTGCTATTTAGTTTATGGCTTTAAATATTTTACTACAATTAATGTTGTATATGTTGACAAATGTTGTTGACTACCGACATGTGATCTAGCATGTCATCTTTTTGATGACTGAGGTTTATACCTCAGTTAAATTCTAAGAGCCACTACATTTGTTCCCTTTTTTAAAGGACCTTGCATTACCTGTTAGTTAACCCTACCATACTGGTAATGCATCCTATTGCTCTTATATGTAATAGGCAGAACTTGTAGCATCTGTAGCCTAACAGTTCCTGTGAACTGGCAGCCAGTAGGGAAAATGAGGTTTAACTAGGCAAAGGGTCGGGGGGGGGAGTAGGGGGTGAAGATTTAAAAAAAAAAGAAAGAAGAAAGAAAAAAGGTTTAACAGTTTTCAAGATGGCCACTACTGTACCTGATTTGAAGTTGAGCAATGAAGTTAGGTGCTTGTGGTTCTAATGAACCTTGGGAAGAATTAGGTGCCTTCAAAAAGCAGTCTAGAGGGCCTTACACATAGCAGAAGACTACATCTCTTTTGTTTCTTACTGCTTGGTATTGAGGCATGTGTTTGAATTCCTGCT